CAGCGGTCTGCTCACGAACCCTAGTTGTACGTAAATACCTTTTCCCCTTTTCCCCCCGTCTTTCCCTTTTATGGGTGTGTGTGAGTTTCCTTAACTCCCACTCAATAGTTACAATTCCTAGTATTTGTCAGTGTTTTTAAAGAATAGGATCTATTCATGGAAAAGTGTACAAAAAAAAAAAAAGAAAATCTCCATATTTTAGGTTTAGTAAATATGACCAGAGAGCCTCATCAATTCCATGTAATTGTAGCACAGACATGCAAGAAGTGGTCTAATTGCATTTAATACTTCTGATGTAGTTAGTGTAGAAGATGCTATGTAATGATGGCAATGGCCTTGGATATGCACTGTGTGTTGCAGACTATTCAAGTATAATTAGAGATGTAATAAAGGAAAATGTGGATATCTTTAGATATGAAATCTTGCAAGATACTTGTATATTTTACAGATATGTATGAACTACATATGTGTTGAGGCCAGCCTTGAGATAGTTATTGAACAAATGTACAAGGAAATAGATTGCTTGGAGACGCAACACAGTGGGACTTGTATGCAGTATGTTCGTTAAAGTAAGGATTCTTATTTTTGATGTTCAGAATGATATTACATCCATTATTAAAAAAATGAAATGGTTCCTTTCCTTCCCCCATTAGTGACTTTAAACATTTTAAAATATTCACCTTTGGTTTTTATTTCTATAAATTCGTAGCAACGGAAAAATGGCAGAGGGTAGTTATGGTTTTCAGTTTTCTAAAAGTACTGAGGATTTTTTGTGAAAATAAATTGCAATGATTAGTGTTGCCGTTTTAATTTAAAGGCAGTTTGACGTTTTAGGCTTTTCCTGCAGCACGCTATTGGTGAGTTTAAAAGTGACACTTCCAAGATCAGTAATAAGCTTACTCATGGACCGTATACAATTTCTGATTCGGAAGCTCAAGAGAAAAGTTTAAAAAATAATTTAAGTTGCTTTTAACACTTACAAAAGTTTTATAGATTACTGAAATTTCAAACGAGCATGTTAATGTCAACTGGTTTGTATTTTTTCTTCTCAAATTTATTTTATATGAAATGATATTTGAAATTACGGCAATTAAACAAATGGTCAGATAACAAATTGAATTATAAATCCAAAGAGAAGGTTTGTTTTTTCAAATCAACCGGATGTTTTAAGTGTTGTACTACTGGACAAGCAATTAAAACCTAACGAAAACTTTTCATGACAAAAGTAGAGGACTACTGAGCGGCATTGACCAAGAGTTTAAAAAATAATAATTATGAGAGAAAATTAAAACACGAATGGACCCAAGGCGGAAGTAAGGGAAAAATGACGCCCGAAATACTTCACAATCATGACAAGCTAAACTATTGTAGAAGTAGAAGAGAATTGCAGTCATGAACAAAAATTATATGGTAATTATCGTAGTAGTATATAGATTGTTGTAAAGATGGTAAAGCGTCGAATGAAAGTCACAAGACAGACCGAAAAAAAGACAGGAAGAGAAGGAAAAATGGACAAAGAGAAAGAGGAAAACAAGTATACAAATATTCAGGAAAGGCGCTATGAACAAAAACCCATCTTTAGCAAATGTAATTCCCATGAACGTTATTAACGCATGAGATGCAAGTTATTCATTCGCATTTAAATCTCCTCCACAGTAAAATCTATTGAAGATTGTGATGAGCCTAACCTTTGTATATATTGCATCACCTTCGTATATATTGAGGTGTCCAAATACAGGCTTAAACTGAGTATTAAAAAATATATATCAAACTTAATAGCTTCGCATCTCATTACGTGTCCAATACAACCTTAAATAGATATGAAGATAAATATACCAATCTCACTATCTTCGCATCTATTCAAGTCTCGAAAATCAGGCAGAGAGAGATCGAGCCTTTATCATTTTCTCGTATCTACTGCAAAAGTAAATGCGTGCCGAAAATCAAGTTGATTAAAATAAACTATTGTTACAGTACTTCCTCCCCTCTCCCCCCCCCACACACACACACATTACCCTGCTTATTATTGCCATGCATAGGGAGAGGAGGAGGAGGGGGGGGGGTGCTTAGGAAACGGGGACTGAGGCCCAGTGACAGGGATCCACCTTAAGGTCTATTATAACTAGGCTATCATAAAAGTATAGACCTTGACCACCCAGTCTTGGTTCCCAGCCCTGGCCTTCGACTAATCTGGATTTTCTTTTTCCCTTTTTCCCTTTTTTCCTCTCTGTATGCCCCATCGGCTCAGCTTCATACCCTCTTCACTACCATACTACTCTCTAGTACCGTCTAACCTTTCAACTTCATCCTAGTCATTAACTATACTTTAGCATAGTGCTATATGGCCATGATGTGTAGCTCATTTATTTGCTATATTTAATTATTTTAAACATCTTTTTGTTTTAACTATTAACCCTTCTGGATATTCACAAACGTCTTACTGACGGCAACAACAAAAATATTCTTTCCTACCATATATTTTGTATACATCGGTTTTGACCTTAGATGGTGTTATGGCCGAAATTTTTCAGTAAATAAATACAAACGCACATACGCATACACACGCACGCACACACACGCAAACGCACACGCACACGCACACCCACACCCACACCCACACGCACACACACACACATATATGTATATATATAAGTGTGTGTGTGTGTGCGCGTGTGTAGTATTATGAATTTATATTATAGTCTCCCCTGAAAATCGCCTAGTAGTCCAGTAGAAATAGCAAAAATATCGCTTAACCTAGACAAAATTGCAAGAAAATTTTTCGTTGCAGATTCTGGTTTAGCAGGTTACTAAGACCACACAGATCATTTTAGGACAAAATCGGACCACTGGAAATACCCTAATTTGCATAAATTGCATATGGCCGCCAAGGCGCCCCTTTCCAGCCAATATCTCCTAAACGGTGCTAGATAGGCCCCCTAAATGTATTATGAACAGATAGGAAAGTGACCCCAAGGAACCCAAATATACCTTTACATTGACATTATGACGTCATTTGTGTCACATATGATGTCATTTGTGTCATTATGATGTCATATATGACGTATATATATGCAATTTTTATGTCTTTTTTCCTGCAATGTATAGCTTTTTTGGTGAATGTGTGGTATTTCTCATCAGAAGCAGCAGTACTGAAGTGTAAGCAAGGGTCCAATTATTAATATAGATGTACTTGTGTTTGCAGCCAAGAGGCCAACAAGGTGGTAGTTAGCTGACTGTCGGGGGTGAAGTTTGCTTGGTATGAAAACGGGCACGCAGGTACGATAGAAAGCTTGTCGTCTTTGTGTTGATAAAACTAAATTCAGAATCCTATTTTTCCTGATATCTATTTCCAATTGTGAACGTCTCTACCTCCACTTGTTTCTTCCACTTCAGCTTTCAATTATCTGCTGATTCCAGTCAATTAGCATCATTAGCTGATTTCTGAAACAGCCCTGGTTCCAGTAAGTTGAGGTAAGTATGCGTGGCGGATATCAATTTCATGACCTGTTTGCAGCAAAGAAATGGAAAAGCTGCTGAATGAAGATGAAAAGGAAATGTTGCCATGAAACATTAGAAATCTGGGGTACTCTTTAAAACACCTTCATTCTGGTTTTTATCTTTTCCACCCACTAACAGGCCATGGAGGATCCCAACTGCCCAATCTGCCATGCACCTTGTAGTGACGATCAAAAGACGTTTGCCATGACAGAGAAAGGTGCGCGTAGTGTCAATGAAGCGGGAAAAGCCAGAGGAGTTGCCTTGAACGTGTCAGCTGGACAGAAAGTTCATTCAAAATGCAGACTAGACTTTTGTAACAAGAAGTCAATCGCTTCTTCCTTGAAACGGAAATTAGAGGACAACCCAGATAAGCCTCCAACCCGTCGTTGCATAGAATCTAGGTTTGAGTTTTCCTCTCACTGTTTTCTGTGTGGTATGCCAGCAGATACCATGGTAGGACCTCGGGTGTCCTTCTCTCCGAAAATGCCGCTTAAGTCAAGAAAGGACCAATTCCTCGCTCATTCTGAAAACAAGCAACATTTCATCAACCTTCTGAAGGAAAAACTGAACGAAAAAGGTATCGACACATTGAGTGCAGACGGAGACGCCGACGTTCTGATAGCAAAAACAGCCGTTAGATGTTCATCATCTGCCTGTACGCACCTAATTGGTGAAGATACTGATCTACTGATACTTCTCTGTTTCTACTGCCCTTCTGATTGTAAAGGGTTAGTCTTCAGATCAGCAAAAACGTGTGGACAAAATAAGAGAGCATGGGACATTGTTCGTCTGAAAGAGCTATTGGGAAATGAGATGTGCAGTCTCCTTCCAGTGATCCATGCTATCGGTGGTTGCGACACAACCTCCCGGCTCTTCGGGATCGGAAAAGGAGCACCTCTGAAGAAACTAAAAAATGATGGTTTCAAGAAGCAAGTGCAGACGTTGACCGACGGGCAACTGGACCCCACTGATGTAGAAAAGGCAGGAGAACTAGCTCTAGTCTGTTTGTATGGTGGAAAGATGGAAGATACCCTGGATGATCTACGAGCAAGACGATTCTCTGAAAAGGTGGCCACCAGCGCAAGTAGTGTACAGGTTCAGACCTTGCCTCCGACGTCAGATGCAGCGAAGTACCACATGCGGAAAGTTTATTTCCAAGCACAGATCTGGATGGGTTCTAACGACTTGAATCCAACAGACTGGGGTTGGCAGTTATCAAATAGTCGCCTGCCACCCAAAAAGATGGACCTACCCCCAGCACCAGATTACCTGTTGAAAGTCATCCG